TTGAACACAGGAGCAGCAGAAGCATCTGGACTCACTTTACTGGACGTCTGACATTAATGTGGACAAGCATCAGGAATGAAGCAGCAGAAGCTTCTTTTGATGCTGGAATCATGTCTGGTGTGAACGTAGCATAAGAAGTGGATTAAAGTTTTTGCTTTAGTTCATTTTAACGTCCGGTTGTGGGATGTTTGGAGAAAGGTGGCTCCTTGGTAACGATGTGATCCCAGACTGGGCTATCAGCTCATCTCTGCTACTGCTGATGATGATGATGATGATTTATGATGATGAAAAAGTATCATTTTGGTTTCTGGAGACACTGACCTGTTCTGTTTTGTTTGTGCTGTGATCCACAGGAGGAACATAAGGTTTGGATCAGACTCTTTGTTTGCTTATTTTTTCTCAGACCACACGCAGCGGCTGTTAGCTCCCCCCCCCTCCCTGTCGCGATGTCTAACAGTCTGCCGTTCATCTGAACCGGTCCTTGTCGGACCCGTTTCACCCCAGACCTGAGACCGCCCTCTGATTCGCCCTCTGGCTACGGCTGCTAGCTTCTGCAGACACTTCCTGATCCTGACGCGTTTTTTCTGCAGATGGCGGCTGATTGACGCATTGCTTTCCTTAAGCCTGTTTCCCGCCTCTGCATTTTACTGATTTCCTAAACAAAATAACCAGAACAAATCATTGTCCGCACAGGAAGGAGCTAGCTCGCTTTCTGGAAAAGAACTCTCGTTCTTTAAGATGCTTGTTGAGGAATTTCCTGCAGGTTAAGATTTTCGTGTTTCGTGTTAATTAATCCACAGATTAATAAACAATCTGTCGATTATTTATTTTTTTATTTTTTGCTTAATCGATTAATAATCAGATAGCCAAAGGTTCCTTAAAGAAGATTTTTAACAGAATTAAACCAGGTGAAACTAAAACTTGTCCACTTCAGGAGTTCTTGATTATAGAGCAGATTTTTATTTTAAATGTAAAAATGGTATAATTCCTGCTCTAATTGAGTCGCTCTGTCACCTAAAGGAATGTTTTAGAGTCTTTGCACTCCAGTTAATGATTAATTGATTACTAAATTAGTTGATTACTTCAATAATTGAGAATGAGAATTAATCCATGTAATTGTTTGAGCCCTACTTTTGAGTCGTGGTTTGAATTTGAACGATTCCGATCCATTTCACAGACGTACATTTATCATTAAAAAGCATTTACATAAACCTCGTCTCTGTTGCCGAGGTTCTGATGTGTATCTTCCTGCGGTGCGGTTCTGGGCTGGAGGAGGAAGCAGCGCAGCAGGAAGGCCTCACAGACTTTCTATGCTCAGCTCTGTTCACTAAACACGCAGCCGATGGTTTCGTTCTGTGGACAGAGGAACCTTCACATTTATTACACTGCAAAAAATGTAAATCTAAATAAATTATTTAATCTTAAAATAAATGCATTTATTCTTAAAATCACATGATCTGCCAATGGAATGAGAATATTTACTCTTATAATAAGATAATTAGATATTATGCACTTGTAATTAGACAAAGTAATTGTTTTTTTCTTATTTTAAATGTAAATTCTCTTGTTCCATTGGCAAAGTTTCTCACTTACATCCTCAATTTAAGAAAAAAATGCACTTATTTTAAGAAATAGTGACTTATTTAGATTTATTTATTTATTCAGGGCAGGTCAGAGACAAGCTTAAATCACTGCAAAAATAGAAATCTAAAGGAGTCATTTTTTTTTCTTAAAGTAATGCATATTATTTTAAGATGATTACTTTGTGTTATTTTGAGTGCATATTATCTAATTATCTTATTTTAAAGAGCAAAAAATACTAATTCCATCGGCAAATCAACTGATTTACCTGCTCAGATTAAGCTTAAATACACTTAATTTAAGAAATTTTTTATTTATATCGTTTTTGCAGTGCTGCAAAAAAAGCTATCTAAATCATTTTATTTTTTTCGTAAAATAAGTGCATTTTTTTCGTTAATTGCATTGAATTGCATTTACTGCAGTGTGTTTAACGGTTCCATAAACATAAAATACATTTTGACGCATAAAGATTTGATGCACATATAGGGGATAGATGCTAAGCTCTGCTTGCAGCTGAATGAGAAAGTTTTCCCTCTAGTCATCTTTCTAGCTCTGCTGCAGCTTTATTCTGGATTAATGCACCGCACTCTTCTCCAGCACACATCGCCTAACGCACCTCTTTAAAAGCTCTCACTGCTTCCGATGCTCCTCTCTCCAGCTTTACGTCCCTTCAGGACTTCATTTCATGCTTGATATCATGCAGCAATAAAGCAGCCAGCAAACTGCTTTCTGTTTCAGGACCACCACAGAGCCGAGTACGAGCTACGTGTTGCAGAAAAGACCATGAGACAAGATCATGGAGCCCCTAAGGTAAGACTGACGTCCCGCTCCGTCATTTATCCCATCAGTTTTTTGAAGCAGAGCCTCTGAATCATGGAAGCCGTTACTTAGTTAATGTGCAGAGATGTCACGTCTCAGGACACCAAGGCCACTGTCACCATCTGATCCGTCCCGAAAGCACGATCCGTTCTGCACATGCACCATCAGCTCATTTGCACATCTAGATATACATCCGGATTGCCAAAGATTTTATTTAGTTAAAAAGACCTAAATTACGTTTTTCCCCTCCCTAAAAATATGAAGCATACAAAAATGTGAATAAATAAATGAGATCCTTTCTGTTTTATCACTTTTCTGTTGGATGCTGCGCTACTTCCTGAAGCTAACTTTTTCAGCTTTGAATTTAAACATAAATCTAGTCTTTTCTGGAGTTGTATTTTTTCCTTTTGTGTTAACCTTATAGTTCCTAATCTAAAGAAAGAAACAACTAAAATGCAGATAAACATGGTTTAATCAGATTTAGCCGCACTGCTCTGAGCATGTCTGATGATGACATCAGAGAAGCAAAAGAAAATATAAAAAGCATCGAAATTGTCTCACAAAAGTCATAAAACATTTTTAAAGACATGTTTTAGCGTCTTTAGTGAGTTAAGGATAGAAATAAGTCATTTTAGTACAATAATTACATTATCTATGGAAACCCGGATGAATATCTGTATCATTCCTTAAGTCTTATTTTCTTTCATTCTTCCATGAATTAATACTGATCTTTATAGCGTATAATACTCCCTTTATCTGTAAAGCACAGTGAAAATGGCGGCAGGCTGCAGAATAGAACGGAGCAGAAGGAAACTCATCAACAGTCGGTTAAAAAAAATCTGTCACAGTCGCTTTGTCAAGAATAATGGAAACACAATGAGGTGAAAAACAGTTCAGGGATCAAAGGTCAGAAAAAAAAAAAAAGGTTAGATTTTGAAATGAAACTTAAGAAGATGAGCCGGTATTTCTGTGTGCAGAGACGGCTCCCCTCCTCTGTGGAAAGCTTTTATTTTAATGTGCATCATTACAGCCTCTGAGCCGCTGACCTCATACGACTGCAGCAGCTCAGAGACGTTTCAAATGCAAAAGGATTGAATTTGGGGAGGGAAGAAATGTCCGGTCCAAAGCCGGCGGCGGCGATGACTGATGAAACACGGAGCAGAGGTCAGACCTGGACGCACTGAAACAGGAGAGAAAGCATGGAGGGAGAAGGCGGCGTTCTGTCAGAGTCGGTACCCATGAACTGTGGAGTCAGCAAACGCTTCGCACACATTTAAGAGAATAACATACAGGAAGTCTACTAAGCTGTTTTATATATACTTGATATGATGAACAAAAAGTTATAGTTGAAGGTAAACACAGAAAATGAGCAGAGAAGCAAACCGAAGGTGAAGCAGGATAGTTTATTAATATGTGATGAAATAAACAGCAAAGATTTAGTTTGAGCTAAAACAGAATTTAAAGCTAAACTGCTTTAAACACAGACAGCCTGACTTTCTGTGGTCGCTACTTCACACCAGGAGGATTTTATACAAATTAACCTGGAACTGCAGTTTATAACATTTTCATTTTTAGATTTAAAGCAAAATTTCATGATATAAGACAATAAAATGTGTGGCAAAATTGTACAGGAATTTGATCATGAATTTAACTATTCCTTTAATCCCGACATCGATCGAGATGATTATTACTTTTAGTTATGGACCAACTACAACCTTAGCAGTCGGCATCTTCCTCACGTTTGATTTACTTCAATTAATCTTCCTTCTGCTCTGCTAAGCCGAGGTTTGCAACATGACGTAATGTCCAAACCAATGTCATCCACGATCGGCTGAGTGGGAGGTGAGTTTTATACGGGGCGCGTTTGTAGATGGCTGCAGGTGCAGCTAGACCTCAACAGCTGAGCATACTGTTGAGTTTAAATCCAGAGAAATGTGAGTTTAAAAGATAACGAGGAAATAATCAACACAGAGACAGGGTTTTTTGACGTCAGCCTCTGCAGAAGCGGAGAGAAGGCGTTGGCTCAGAAACCAGCACCTTCTCACACAGATCCCTTCATGGCAAAACCTTTTATTAACGGTTTACCTCATCATAAGGCGGGCCTTAAACAGAAGACCCAGTAATGATTATCTGGGAGGATGCAGGTAATAAGATGACCAACTGGCTGGATGGAAGTCACACAACCGTGTGATTCTGCCTCATGACCTACTGGAGGTCATAAAAGTTTATGACCCTTCTGGTTGAATCACAGGATGGAAATGTAGCATCTTCTTTCTTTCAATGTTTCATATGTCCACACAATCATTTTATAATTATCACTCTAACACATACCTTTTTAGTTTTGTAGGAAAAATACATTTTAAACCACCTCAATGGGCATGTGTCCCTTTAGTCACGTACAAAAAACTATTTAAGTAGTTGGTTTTTAGTGTTTTTGAAGCGTATGGCGATCTGACAGCACACATGCATATTACTCTGGGTATGCTGGTCTGACGGGGTATGCTGGTCGGACAGGGTATGCTGGTCTGACGGGGTATGCTGGTCTGACAGGATATGCTGGTCTGACAGAAAAGTGGGATAGCTGCACAGTAAAATAAAATCCTTGTTTTAAACAATCATTTACTTGATTATCCGGCGTCTCGCTCTGCCTCTGAAATCACACCTAATGGAGCCGCGTTCATTCTGAGACCTGCAGAAATGATTAAACCAGAGCTGTGTAGGTTAAAGCTGAGGCTACTGGCGACAGTCTAAGCAACTGCGTCGCAGAGCGGCTGATAGGGGAATCCTTGCTGACGCGCTGAAAATTTCAGTCCAAGATGCAGTTCAGATCCTTTTGTTTTATTGATCTTCAAAACATGCAATGCAGCAAACAAGAAAAAAACTAATCCGCAGTTTGAGCCGTGATCAAGCTCAAAAAAAGAACAAAAAAAAAACATCCACAGCTTAAAGCGGGCAGCTAAAAGTAGAAATCCCCCATCAGCCTCTCACTGAAACTCATCATCATAACAATCACTGCTGACACCACAGGATCAAAACTACGCCTATCCACCACAGAGGCTGTTTATGTGGTTAAGGCAAAGGTCTTGGAATCCTGGGGTTGTGAGTTTAAAATCCACTCCACTGATTGCTCCCCGGGCGCCACACAATGGCAGCCCACCGCTCCCAAGGTTAAATGCAGAGAGGGAATTTCTCCAATGTGAGATAAAGTTCAGTTTATTTATTTATTGTTCTCTCTACCAAGCTAATGGACTGATGATAAACACATGTTTACCTTTCTGTTGACTTCACATGTTTGTTTTTCTGTTTGTTTTAGGAAGAGAAAGTGAAATTAACGTGCACAGACAGAATGCCAGCCTATGCGACGACTGTGGTCATGATGGCCTTTATGGTAAGTTCTCTTTTCTCACATTCAGCCACTGCAAACAGAAACCAGAGGGCAAATCTTTCCCATGATGCAGCGGTCAAACATTTAATCCCTGCGTTTGGAGGAAGTGCTCACAGCTTAGAGAGCAGAAATAAAAGAGACAGGTTCATGTGACGGATAAAGCCTGCTTATTTTGGAGCCATCCTAAGGGAACAAGGAACCATGACAACTAGAAAACACCCTGCACGTGCATAAATGATGCTAGCAAATAAAAGGCATGAGATGGATTACTGCTGCTAGTGGCAACTGCTGCTTTAGACGCAGTGCAACAGAAAAGCTCCAGACCACCAGGGGGAGACACTAAACGGCTCATATGTGACCAGTCCCCAAGTAAAAACAGGCCGTTTCTCAATTCCCAAAAACACGAGTCAGGACTCGTGTTTTCGGTAGGTCTGTTCCTGAGAAGAACCCAGGAAGGTCTGGACTCTGGGAGAACGGGAGCACGCAGAATAAATCAACTGGAACAGAAGCGTACTGATGACATCACCACATTCAAAGCTGAAACAAATTGGAGATTAATTTATTTAATTTATATGAGCTCATAGATAAAAATGAATACATATCATCAATATTGAAATGGCAAATAGGGACAGTGATGCTTTCATCCATTTTTACATATTTATTCATATTTAAACAACAAAAATCAAGTGTAATATCCAGCAATGTGCGTCTCCGTAGTGTTAGTATTTCCTAAGATTGATCAAATAATCATTCGATAGTTTTTATTAGAGCCGTCTCTGCATTCTCCCCTCTCCATCTTTTCTTTCTAGCTGACTCCTGCCTGCTCTCTGTTTTAATCTAAGTAGATTTTTCTTCCTTCTCTTTAACTGATCTTTCCATCAATCTTCCTATTTTCCTCCACTGTCTTCTAATATTTTCCCTCTTCTATCAATCTAACACTAATCTAAAACAGACATAATGCAATCTAAATCCCTTCCAAACACATTTAATCCTATCTTATTATTATTATTATCATGATTATAATGGTGATTATTGTTGTTGTTGTTATCTCCTCTGATTAAATACTAAAAAATGAAGAAAAACAGGTGGTTATCTCCTCCTCCATCACTCTCAGATCATGCAGATCTTGTCTCATTTTCTACACCTAAGCCTGGAAGTCTATGCTCATAAATCCCAAACATGAAACAGAAAAAAAACTTTCACCAATCAGTTGTTAAAAACATCTTATTGATCCTGGAGAACCACTGAACCAGATTAGCTCCTTATAAGGAGTTTTCAATCATTCTGGTTCATTTGATCCGAGTCTATTTCCTCCTGCAGCTGCAGCCAAAGGTCTGTAACGGGAGAATAAAACTTTTTTTGGTCAACATTCACCATTTTAAGGTGGCCATGTTGTATTTGTTATTTTAGGGTCATAAAAAGTTGGTTTTAAACTGAATTTCATAAGAATTTTAGCAGTAAGGTTCAATGGTGGTGCTTTTATGGTCTCTGTGGGGAAAAACATTTTCAGTGATTCTTTATTTGAATTTTTTTTTTCCCCACAGAACTTTACCACTTCTGTAAATTATTGATGCAAACAAAGCGGCTTATTAACCGTTTTCATTTTCCTCCTGAAACGCGGTGACATCAGCTCTCTTAACTCTTCCTTCCACAGGCGAGTGGCTCGCCAGGTCGCTTTGCCTCAACCAGCTAGCAGCCTGAGTTTCTAGTCTAGAGTGGAGAAGCAGCATAGCAGACATGATTCTGTCTGTTCAGTCACAGATACCTTCATCATTCTTCCAGCTTTCCTGTCTCTGAGCAGCAGCTGTTCCCTGCTCTCTTTCAGATAGCGGTAACCTTGGCCATAGTCTTTGGGGTCATCCTGTACCGAATCACCATTAAGACGGCTCTGCACCTGAGCACCTTCCCCGCTGCGCGCTCCAATGTTCGAGCCACGGTAAAAACCACGGCCGCCATCATGAGTGTCATCATCATCATCATCCTGGATGAGATCTACGCCTCCGTCGCCCGCTGGCTCACCAGAATGGGTGAGGAACCTTGGCTGGGGAGTCCTGACCAGGACGGCTAATGCTGACTGAATTAGTTCATGAACCTTAAAACAAAAACATGAAAGAATAACTTCATTCTCTTTTGTATAATCACATTACAACACAGTTTCCACTATAGATATTATTTATATAATACATTCAAATGTCTTAAAGGAATAGTACACCCAAAACATGATTAGCCTTCATTTTCTACTCACCCCCATGCTGAACAACACTCTGGAGTACTTTTTTGATATCTCAAATGCATCTGGAGATCTGGGAGGCTTCTTGCTGTCTGCTGACATTCAAATAATGGAGGTCTATGGCGCCCGAGGCAGAAAGGTCCATAAAAGTCCACAAAAAACGTGTCGATATTCCTCCATACTGCTCGTCCAATGTATTCCAAGTGTCCTGAGTGGGTAGCATCCAGAATTTACTCGAAACGAAGTCATTTAGAATGTTTTTAGAGCATAAACAGTAGTGTATAGGATTTCCTAAAAGCGCGTTCACGAGTCTACGGAAACCGCGGCAGACCAAACCAGATGAAAGTGCGCATTCAGCTCGGCAAAGAACTCATGCTCTTCCTCAACACTGAAGTCCTCAGACATTTATCTTTCGTTGTTTCTTTCTTTGCACAGGTAAACAGCACATTTCTTCTTCTACGCTTGCATTATCGGCAGAGCAGACGCTGAATGCGCACTTTCATCTGGTTTGGTCTGCCGCGGTTTCCGTAGACTCGTGAACGCGCTTTTAGGAAATCCTATACACTACTGTTTATGCTCTAAAAACATATCCGAGTTGAATGAAATCCAGTCAGAATCGCAGACATGAAAAAAGAGATGCTGAGTCTGGAAGTAGAGAACAAACATGGTTCATAAAAAACTATTTTGTATGATCCTAGTTATTCCTGCTACAAAAATCCACAACAAAGAAAATATTTGGGCAGAAGCTGCACATATGCTGGATATTGATGGGGATTTTTTCATACGTCATTTTAAATCAAGCGTTTGTTTTGCTTGTTCCTATGACTTTACCAATATGGTGCATGCTCTCCTTGAGCTCCGAAGAAGTGGGAGTGGAGCAAGACAGGAGGAACCCTGGAGGCTGCAGGCTTTGCTTTGTGCAGTCGGTCTGGAGCGCAGCGGTCATGGAGGATGTGGGATTTCAGTTTTTCTTTGTTCTTAGATGAAGGACGCGCTCATTCCACTCCCGCATCTTTGCCACATTCATAATGGAAATGATAACTGTATATCCGACAGAGGAACTGTCCTTCTTAGATGAACTACTCTGGAAAACATTAGTTCTGACACGCAGCAGGCAAGGATTATTAGGGTTTAACAGACCCAAACATAATCAATGATAATGAACAGAAATAAATTAATTCAAATCTTTTCTGTTTTATCACTCTGCTCCCGATCTGTGGCGGGAATGGGATCCTACGCTTTTTCCTGGAACTAACTTTTTCAGCGTGGGATTTAAACATCAGTAATGTTAACATGGTGATGGCAGAGCAGGCTAATGTTAGCATGGTGATAGACAGACAGACAGCTCTATTTTTGTCATTTTGTATACACAAGTGTAAACAAAAATAAATTTCATTTAGAACAGCTCTCTAGACAAATTCATATCTTAAAGTGCAGCCTTGATCAGGTCAGCATCAGTTGTTGTTGAGCTGCTACTACTGCCTCCAGCTCCTGCAGCACTCGCTTCTCCTGGCTCAGGGGAGGAAGAGGATGATGATGACGATGCTGTGAGGGTGGTAGCCCCCTGGGTTGAAGAGGCTGAGGTGGTTGAAGCAGCAGTGGAGCCATCGGCAGGTTTAGCAGCGACAGACGATGCTGGAGAAGGTGTGGAAGCTGCAGAAGGCCAGGAGGAGCCAGCTGGGGATGTTTCAGCATTTGGCAGAGAAGCATCTAGAGTGTTCTCCTCATTCTCACCTGCAGAGGGCAGTGCTTCCCTTCTAGATGCTGAAGATTCCCTGGGAACAGTCTCAGAGGAGCCTCCATTCATGCAGAGCTCTTTGTTCCTATCGTTGTGGTACAGCATCAGCCCCTAGAGGCTAATAGCATTGTCCGGTATTGCTGGACGCAGCCATGACTCCGTCAGAATGATGGTGCAGCAGCTACATAGCTCCTTTTTGAAGAGAGTTGGAGATAATCTATTTTGTTTTCCAGCGAGCGGACGTTGGAGAGCAGGATGGAAGTGGAGGTCTGTGGGGATCCCTCTGCAGCCCCACTTTCTCCGTCTCGCGCATTTCTTCGTTCGTCCGTTATTTTCCACTGATTGTCTTTTTTACATCCGTCCGTAGCACTCTGCAGCTTTTTAAACGGTCAAAAATGTCTATATTTAAAACATTTTGTGACCGTAGCTCCAGCAGGCGTTGGCGATCATAGATGTCTAGTCTGTATCGTTTTAAGCAGCATATTTTGTGAAATTGTCGAGAGGAGCCGTTCTTGGCCGCTGCCTTGGAGCGCCATGGTTTGGTTACCATGGCGGTCTGATAGCAAAACAGGCTAATATTGGCATGGTGATTACAAAGCATGCTAATGTCATAGTGATAGTAAGGAGGGCTAATGTTGTCACACTTCTAGGAATGATGTAAATCAAGGGCGAGGAATAAACTCCTGCTCCCTTGCTATCAGGACAAAAACCAAACCAATTTGATGCTCCGGGTTTATTGGCAGGTTTAACTCAATCCCAACACCAGCAGATTTCAGGGTGATGATGCCTTTAAAGGTTCATAAAATCTTGTGAATGTAAGCCATGGTCAGTTTGGGACGATCTTCTGTCTTTGCAAATGAGGGGAAAATGACAGAAATGATTCCGACATGAAGACTAAAGACATGAGGTCTAAAAACATTCCTGCCATCTGGTTTATTTCTTCTGTTGTCAACATCTCCTGTTCTCCATTTTCCAGAGGTGCCCAAAACAGACAAGAGTTATGAAGAGCGACTCATTTTCAAAACGTTCGTCTTGAAGTTCGTCAACGCCTTTTCACCCATCGTCTACCTGGCGTTTTTCAGGGGCAGGTGAGACGGTTTCCTCCGCGCCTTCTGAAACCAACCCTCCTGTTTTCCTTCAGGCGATTGTTTTGATTTAAAGTCTCTGACTGACGGATGTGTTTGTTCACAGACTGGTTGGCAGACCTGGGAATTACCTCTACGTTGTTGGAACCTACAGGATGGAGGAGGTAAACCAGCTCAGGCTGTTTATCCCCATGAGGTTTGGTTCACTGTCAAACGGAACAAGTAGGATTTGTCACTAATTCTATTAGGTTTATTTCTATAGCGCTGATTTACAACACATGTCGTCTCAAGCCAGTTCAACCAGATCATCCAGTCAGATTGATTCAAAGTTTTCTATCAAAGGAAAACCAGTTGACAGCAAGAAATGTCGCTATTGGCTGTCCTAGAAGGTGCTAGATGATGTCATCGTCTAATTTGCATACCTGATGTAATCCAGCTGCAGGAGATTTTTAATCCCTCCAATTTTTTAGTTTTTCATTTTTTTGGCTGTCTGTCAAAGCGGTGCAGAGAAACAGGATGGCAGAGAGGAAGAAGCGTAGGGATTTGAAGAGTTTTACAGAGACTTTTACAAAAACAAATAAAATGCATATAATTTAGCCATTTAAAAAATAAAAGAGACAGGGATATTGTTTTACTAAAGTCTCCATTAACACAAAAAAAAGTTCCTAGATTTAGCGACAAAAGCGCTAAGTGGGGAACGCTGCCCTGAAATGCTGATTAAATGATCATATTCAACAGCTGACTGCTGTAAGAACTTTTCCTTTTAAAGGAAAAGGAATAATCAATGGATCTATACCTAAAACGAATACCTTCGTGGTGATTTAATGAATTTAAACAATATCTTTCTATTGCGATCACTGAGTCTGGGAGCAGCATTTTTTTACCCAAATATAGTAGCCCCTCCCTCCTGCCATATTCCAGCAGTGAC